CCCCCCAAAGCCCCAGTAGATAGTTGTATGTCATAGCTGCACATCCTTCTAGTTGCTGTATGTGGGACTCGGCCTCAGCATGGCCGGACAAGCGGTGCGCCGGTGCACGCCCGGGATCCGAACCCGGGCCGCCAGCAGCAGAGCGTGTACACTTAACCGCTAAGCCATGGGGCCGGCCCTCCTTTCTGATCCTTGAACGTCCTGGGCAGGCTCCCACTTCAGGACCTTTGCCCTAGCTGTTCTCTCTACCTAGAAGGTTCTTCCCAGCTACCCACATGGTTAGATCCCTTACCTCCTTCAAGTCTTTTTTTTTCCAAATGTTACTCTTAGTTTGAATTATTCCAAAGCAAACCATAGATAAAGACTTGGGGGCAGGTAGTTTACCTGGAAGATCACCCCAGGAATTATGGTGAGGAAGTGGGGAGTGAAACAGGGGAGGGAGGAAAGTGTATAAAGGGCATGTCTAAGCACCGGTGCCACCAGGGCTCAACCCTGCTGGAGACTCTGATAGACTATGTAGAATATTTATCCACCAACTCTCATCCCTCACTGTTTGGGGTTACTCCCAGGGCATTACTGCCTGGCACTTTTGGCCTACCCTGCATGGCTCTTGCTTCCAGATAACACCCTTGGGCAGAGATAGAAGCTGTTGTCATGTATGGGAAGTATCTGCAGGACGTAATCTCCTCTGGGGTCATCTGAGGGGATATGGAAGAGGCACCTGCAGAGTCACTGTGGTCACCTTCTCAGGGCTGCTTTCCTAGACTGCTCTAATTAAAACTGGAATCTGTATCCAACAGCTTCCTTACCCTCCTGGTTTGTTCTATCGCACACATCCTTTTATAATATATAATTTACCATCAAACATTGTTTTTTGCTTGTCTTACCCCCAACTCTTTTGTTCACTGATATATGTCCTAAGTTCTGAGCAATGCCCTGCCAGAGGAGGCCCTCAGAAAATATTTATTGAACGAATGCATGAAAAAGTCCGAAAGAAATCCTAGTTTTGTGACATCTACTGGGAAAATTGGATAACTTCATTTGTTAGTTTCCAGAATTGGAAGAAACTTTAGGAAAAGAACATAGTCAACCTGTTCATTTTACAAATTTTACAAATACATTTTGTGGGGACAATAACTCAGATTCCTTGAGGTCCAGGACCTGTCTTTTCTAACATATTTTGATACATATTATTACTTCCAAAGCATAATTTTGGTTACTACTTACACTCTATTAAAATGCCCTATAATACCCAATTTTCAAGGTGCCTCCATATATATTATCTCATTTGATTGTTATGGCCACTATGTGACATAGATAAAGCTAGAATTATTATGTATTGTTCCCTTTGTTGAGAATCTAAGTAATTTTCTGAATTCAGAAGGACAGTCTCTCAATCTTTCTCTCTCTTTCTCCCTCCCTGACAATGATACTCATTTTTACCAGTCTTAAAAAATGCTAAATCTAAGCTCTAGGAATGATAAGGTTCAGGAATGATTAAGTCTTGGTTTCTATGGCTTTTGGAAGACCTCGTTTTCTTGATTCAATTGGAATGACCTAAGTTTGGTGTCTTTCCTCTATTAATTTTATTCAAAGGGTCCTAAAAGGGCACAGATTTTGAATTATTAAATTGTTTAGAAACATTAAAGAAAGCTGACTATTGCATACTAGGATTTGCAAAAATGGATTTCCTCTACCAGAAATCCATTTTTGCATATACTGATAACCACAGTGTCATAATAAGTAAACATGAAAAAGGACAGAGTTTTGGAAGGAGGAAGAGGGCTATGATCTCCAGTTAGAGGAACCCTGCTGCCATCCCACTGTGGACACGGACAGTCATGTGCAATCATAATCACATTAAAAACAAACCGGCCAAGAATCAGATTTAGTGTGCAAGAACCAACCAGCTCAGAAATGAGACTCATGAGGGGAGCCAAGGAAGGAGAGCCGAGGACACAAAGGGTCTAGGTCAGCAAGGGGTGCACTTTCAGGGTACACGTTTCTGTTGGCAGCTTCAGTTGACCTAGGTAGGCACAATCTACAGAAATAAACTGTCAAAGAACAACTCAGAAACATTTAGTTATGTGCACACTGTTTAGTATTTTCCATGAGAATAATTTACTGACATGTGAAGTTGTCAGTGGAGAGACTGAGTCAAGGATGAAGGCAAACAGAGGATGTGGTAGATTGCTATATTGGTGGTCACCAGGAAACCAATGAATCTCCCAGTATTCACACCCTGGTGTAGCCCTTTCCATGTCGAATCTGGGCTTGGCCATATGACTTGCTTTGGTCAAGGGGACATCAGCAAGCGTGACAAGAACAGAGGCTTGATAAGCAGTTGCACCTTGGAGCTTGTCCTCTTGGAATGCTCTCTGTGGAAGCCAGAAGCCATGGAAGTCCAACCACCCTGAGACAGCCATGCTGTGAGGACGTCAAAGCCAGCTACACAGCAAGGCCACATGGAGAAGCAGTGAGGTGCCAGACATGCAAGTGAAGCTTCTCGGGTCTTCCAGATTAGGTTCTAGCCACCAGCTAAATGTACCTGAGTGACTCTAGCCGATGCCATATGGAACAGAATCACCCAGCCAAGCCCTCAGACAGCCTAGCCCATAGAATCAGGGGAAATAATAAATTATTGTTGTTTTAAGCCACAATGTTATGGAGTAATTTTCATGCACCAATAAGTAAGTGCATTACAGGATTTATAAGAGAAGAAGAAACAAAACTGCATTCTGGGAATAGTAAATTTTGTTTGTATGCTTTTAGGGTAAAATGATTAGCTGGCACCTAGCAAACAGGTCGGTCTGAAATTCTGTCCTGAGTAGTTCTCTAGGGTTATCAAATAAAACAAAATTAGTTGTTTACTAATTTTCAAGAAAACTTTGAAGGTAAAGTTTACCTACAGAGCATACTTGTGTAGTATCTGCCAGTGTCCTTTCGTTAGCATCTTTGACTTTGTTAGTTCAGGTTTGTACAATTTTCTTTATTAAAATTTTATAGAGGAAAACTCAGAGATTGGGAAAAGACCAACTCTGACTGGGCCTGGAGGATCTGAAGCTCCCCCCACCCAAACTTTTTTAAAAACAGCATCAGTGGTGTCAGCAGTCTGTCCAGCCCTTAGTCAACAGTCAGAGCTACCTAAATATGGAATGTCCTAAGAAGGCTAACGCCCTTGCAGACAACTCTGGAGCCTGAGTTCCAAACGAGGCATTGCACTGAGGAAGAAGGGGAGAAGGGGCACTGGAGTCAGGGTCCTGGAAATGGGAGCTGCTTAGTGGGGCCAAGTGGTCTATGGAAATCGGGATCCCCTGAATGGTAGGAGTACGAGGATGATAAGGACAGAGGACAGGTTAGCTGGTGACAGAGAAATACAGAAACAGAGGAAAATGGAATTAAGAGCTGAAACACTCACAGAACAGACTCACAAAGTGAAACAGAATTAAACTTTATTTACTTGAAAGACAGGGTGAATCCATCACTGGTGACTGGAGCTCTGAGGCTGCACTGTCTCCTCGGGAAGGTGCGCTGGAATGGGGTGGGCTGCGTTTGGCAGGGGCTGTGGTGGTTTGGGATCTGTGTAGATTAGCAGAATTAGAGTTTTCTAAGACTGTGGCACCTCTCACCAATCCAGAGCTCACCTACGTGTCCTCTTCAGCTCTATGTTCCCCATTGTCTCTATCCCCCTGGGTTATCCCCTGTTCTTCTCTACCACCGCTCACCTGCCTGGCTCCCCAGCTGGGCCTCAGGCCGGTCTCCCCAGAGCAGATGCTCAGGATTGTTGAGGAATCGTTGGCTGCGGTGGCATGTTAGGCAGGTCTGTACTGTCCAGCGCTGTCCCCTGCAGCCTGGGGTGAAAGTCGGAAAAAGGAAGAGAGTGCCCACGTTCAGGAGAGGAAAAGATCTCCTGTACCCAGTTTTTCCTTCACTGTTTTCCAGTAGGAATTCCACCCCCTACCCACTTTGAATACAAGTTTGATGGTATCAAGTCCCTGCATAAACTCTATCAATGTCTTGGTACCCTTAAGATAAAGCCCAAACTCCTTAACAAGACTCTTCAATATCTGCCCTGTTTCCTTCTCCAACCTCATGTCTTGCCCACCTCAAACTCCAGCCTCCTGAACTCTCATTTCCTGGAAAGCAGCACCAGCTCTCTTGTCTCAGGGTCCTCACTATGCCTAGAATTTCCATTTCCCACTCGCTTTGCTATCATGAACCTCACCACCACCGTAGTTTAGCAAAAGTAGTTTAGCATTCCACTCTCCCAATTAAAGCATTTTTCCACACTTATTTTAATTGTTTCTATGTTAGTCTGTCCTATAAGACTAGAATTTCAATGAGAATAACGAATCTAGCACAATAGACACATCTTAGAAAACTAAATATCTGTCGAATGAATGAATGAATGGTGGAAATCGCGTCCTCCACGATGCCAAATAACACCTATTATTATGCATGTGTGGGATTGCCTCTTAACGGCCACATCATTTCTGTACTGCCCAGATAGGGTATAAAAGCCACGCCTAAACCTTAGTTCGTCCAAGTGGAATCAGCAACATAACCACGAGCTGGAAAAAGCCTGCTCCAGCAAATCCCACACTCTAACCCATCCAAATCGAGGAAGGGGTCGCTTGCCCCAGGAACACTCACGTCTCTGGCGCTGTGTGCAGGTCAGCCCCGGGATGAGGAGGGAAGAGCAGCCACGACAGAGGGTCCTCTTCACCGAAGGGTCCCTGGGGCCGGAGGGGGATGGTCATCCGGCGCCCGCGCTCCTTCTCCCATCCTTCCCCGTCCCGCCCTCCGCCAGGCTTCGCTCCCGTCTCACCGCCGCAAAACGAGCCGCTTCGCGATGGTCCTCTCAGTGTGGCAGTAGAACCTCGCCAGCGCCTGGTTCTCGGGGTCCCGCGCAAGGACGCAGTGGGCGGCCTGGGGGAGGGGCGCGGTCAGTCGGCTCCCGGCCCCACCCGGCCACCTCCCGGTGCGCCCCCGACGCGGACTCACCTGGTACAGGAAGCTGAGCCTCTGGAAAGCCTCGCGGTCCTTCACAGGCCCCGCCATCCGCGCCGCCTCAGTGCCTCACAAGCTACCATCCGCAGGCTCCGCCCCTCGGAGAGCCCCGTCCCGGGTGTCCGCGCAAGGGCTCCCGGGAAGTGTAGTTCCTGGGCCCGGGAGGCGCTCCCTCGCGCAGGTCCCTTGAGGTTCTTACTCTGGCGCCGCCCTGCGGCCTCACAGACCCGTGTGTTTGTAAACCCGTGTACCCGCAGCCCAAGCCCAGAGTCCCTTTATGAGTTTTGGCTTTCCTCCAGTCTTCTTCAAGCCCATGATCAGTTATATTAGGTAGACTGGAGAGACAAGTGAAACAGCAGAGGATCTTAAACTGCTAAGCATCTTCTGGACAGAAAGACTTGCCTCTTTAAGCAGATAGGTTGGGAAGATGGTTACGTGGAATTCATATCCAGCTAGACCTTCCGCCCTACTCTCCTGAAGCCAAGGGCGGATGCCTGGAAGATCTACGCACCGAAGGAATAGAGGTTATACATTAAAAAAAGCACTAGTGCCAGCGGGAGTGAAATTAGAAAGGATCGTGAGGATGGTGGAGTGAGGGAAGAGGGCTCCTGGCCCTCAAAAAGCACAGCTTACTCCCACTCTTTTCCACTTACCAAGAAACACACTTTCTGTTAAGCAATGCCGGACACACAGTAGGTGATCCTCACTAACTCCTAGTCTCAGCGGTACTGGAGCACAGAAGCCCGTGGACTGCATCACCTGCTCCTGAAACTACACCCCACCCTCAGCACAAACACACACTTCACATCCCTCCTTCTGACCTGTTTCTGTCTCCCATTTGTTCTGTTTGGCATCCCGTGTTTACCTCTGCTTCACAGTTAATGACCACCAGTTCCTGAGGTCGGAAGTAGAGGGATGCAAGCTGGAGGGGTAGAACAGCAATGAAGCCTGACAGGGAGACGGCAGCATAAGTCAGGAGAGGATGAGGCCTCTCCCCCATCTCAAAACCCCTGGGCAAGGCCTCCAGCTTGGAGGAAATGGCTGAAACCTCCTCTGGGATGAGTTTCACAAGGGTCCCCAGACTCAAATGAGAGGAGTATGTTTAAAATGTAGATGCCCAAGCCCACCCCGGACCCTGATCAATCACTGAAGGTAAGCCCCAGGAACATGGATTTTTAACACCCAGTGATTCTTACATAGCAACACAAGACTGTCATCAAATGACCACACAACACAGAGATCACTTCAGTGGATCCTTTGTTCCATATTATGTTTACCAACCAAAGCATCTTGCCACAAAGAACCACAGTCAAGGCACAAAGGTAAGAGGAGAGTCTGGACAAAGTCCTGTTGAGGTGGTAGGAGGAACTGAAATGCCCTCAATAAACTGCAGTTTCTTGTTCCAATCTTGTGTGAACCCCTGATTATCCAAGTAGCAGATAATCCAGGTCATTTTAGGTTGGTTTGGCATGCATTGCTTTACCTTTTTGGACAACATATGTACCCTACAGGCTGTTTATTTTGGCCTAACATTACAATGATTTACATTCTCTGATGGGGAAATGGCAAATGGTGAAGGATGGCAACAAACAAGCAAAAAACTGGCTCCTGTGAATACTAGTTCCAGGCCGGATGCACACAGGCAAAAGGAAAATGCCTATACGGCCCTTTGCTACACACACCACGCTCTTCTACCCTGTCCTCAGGGTGAGGAAGACTGCATTTCCTTTCTCCCTTTCTGGCTTGGACACCTTAGCCAGGTAACAAGGCTGACATTTTGGGAGTAGCTACTTAGTAACATTCTTTAAGGCCAGGGCTTTGGACAGAAATACTTCTCTCTTTCCTCTAATACCTGACTCTCTCCTTTCCAAGTTCCCTTGGGAGAGCAGTGAAAGGGAAGATGTGTCTTGCAGAGTCTCTGGCACCTCACTTCTGAAAAGGAACAAGGTGACTGACTTCTTGGAGAAAATCAACTATAAGGAGGCAGGCAATAAGCTGCCTCTGCTGAAGGCTGAGGCAGGGACCCGGGTTCTCCTCTTCTTTTTTCTTACCCTCTCCTCCCCACATTCCTACCTCTGGCCAATCCTACTCATAATGGCAACCTTACTCTGGGAATAGAAGACCAAAGAAAACCCTCTCCCCTTCATTAGTCTTTAGGAATCTGTTCTTTTAGCCTCCTTCCATGATCTTTTTTCTAACCTTCTTGATGCCCAATCTCTGCCCTCAGAAAACTCCTCAACTTCTAGACCCATAAGAGCAACTGTCATTCATCTTTATTTCAATCTAGAGGTACACAGACCCCTGTGATCTTCTGTAAGAAACAAGACTATTCTGGGTCAAAGAACCCCCTAAAAGGATGTACAGGGGTCTCTGTTTCCTCCTCCAATTTGAGCAAGTCAGACCTCCCACAGAATTTTTGTTTCTGGAAAAGTCTCTCCTTCCTTCCCAACCCATCCTTGTGCAAAAGAAAACCTGATGGACTTCAGGGGAGACAATCCCCTGGGAACCAGCTCCCCACCGTGACAATTTGGAGGGAGACACAGCTGTGCTCTCATCCCAGCCCAGTCCCACCTACTCCTCCATATAAACCATTCTAGAAACCAAGGTGTTTCTCCCAGATGGTTCAGGACCAGAACCAGGTAGACACGAAGACATTCCAGCAGGTCACAGGAAGGAAGGCCCATAGCTCTTGACCCTGCCTCACCCCAATTATTCCCACGTCTCTACCTGTCACTCCCAATCTGTTGGGGGCCTGATGGTAAGTGGTGCAGCATTCTTCCGACCAGCCCGGATGCCAGGGTAGAAGAGGGGCCAGAGTTTCTCAGTAAAAGTATCAGTGAAGGTGTAGATATGAGAGCGGTCTGTGACGTTGTAAAAAGACAGTGTGCCGGCCTCATAGTCTAGGAATATGCCCACCCGCTTCGGTTTCACCTTGATGTGCAAAGGGGTAAAAGGCGTGGTGGTGGCTGCATATTTGTCCCCATTCCACAGCCGCACCCGCCAGTAGCCAGTCTCAGGGAGTGGAGTCAGCTCGCCCTTTCGGCTCACGGAGTCCCGGCACACACCCACTGCCCAGTGGGTCTTGTCGCCCACCTCCACCTCCCAGTAGTGTCGACCTGAGGTGAAACCCTCAGTAGCCAGGACGCAAGGGTAGAAGGTGAAACGCCGTGGTGTGTCAGGGAGATCCCGGAGTCTTGTCTCCACAAACTTGACGCTCTTACGATCTTCCGACAGGACTAGGTTAGGATGAGCAGTCTCAGGGTCCAGGGTCACATCCGCTGGCGGGAGAAGCCAGAGTGGGGAGCTAGATGAGGATGGGAATAGCTAAACACCCCTGCCTCACTCTTCCAGCCTGCCTTTACAGAGCCTATTCCCTTAAAGGTCCCCAGAACACTGTGGTTTGGTTAACTTTCTCAATGCATGATGTCACCTAAGGGAGAGGGGGAAACAATGGCTTCACTTCTCACCTTGGCCCTAAAATAAACAGATAGTGATTGCTTGACTCTCCAAGGGCTGGTGGTTTAGGTTTTTGCCTCGTTCTCTCTCCATCCGCCCCTGACATCATCATCTATCTCACTGTGTGGAGAAGTGCAAGACACAGTCCAAAGCCAGAAAGAATGAAAAATATTAAGAAGGACAAGATAGCATTATGGTCTAGGGACAGGGTGACCATGTTTCTGTTTGCCTGGAACAGTCCTGATTTATGACTATTTTCCCTAAGTAAATATTAATGACACTCCCTTTCACTCTCAAGAGAGGACCAGTTTAGGCAAATTATTTAACCTTTCTGAATCCCTATTTAGACAAGTGTGGGACTTAGAGCAGATGACACATAAGGCTTCTCACTTTGAGCTGTGTGACTCAGAGTGAGACTGAAAGCCAGGTAACAGGGTAGGTGTGGGTATGGGCACGAAAAGTGACAGATGGGATAACTGAAGCCCAGATAAAGTAGGACAGAAGGACTTTCTTCTCTCTGCTAGTTTCCTTTTGGGAACAACTCACCAATTAGCTGTTTAAGGATTTTCCTTAGGGCAAAGTACTGTCGGGGAAAATTGCTGAAGTTCTTTTCCAGCTCTATGGATACTGAAGTCACCTCCATGGTCTTCACCTTCTCACATCTAAGAGGGATAGGGAGATAGGGGAAGAAAGGGCAGGGTCAGGGGAAGCTCCAGCTAAGTGAGTATTCAGATGTGGTCATCTTTAGGGAGAAACTAAAATTCTCCATCCTCCCACGTTCTTCCTTCTCCCTGAAGACAAGTACTTGCTTGTTGCTTTCTTTTACCAATCTGTAGAGAGCTATATGGTACCCTGAACAGACTCTTATCTTAAGAATGAGTCTCAGAACTTTCTGGGATATTTCATGCAAATGGATAATCACCCTCCCCGCTCTCCCAACCCCTTCCTCCTTCCACCTTGTTTGGACACAGTTCCACCTGTACAATCTAGTTCTAGAATCTAGAATCTAGTTCTACATTATCTTGGTATCTTCCTTACAAGTCTTGATGCTTAAAGGGGAAAAGGTAAGGGACTGTTACTCCTGATGATTTGCTCTCTAACTCGCTTCATGGATGCAATGAACCTTCTCTCATATCCTACCCAGACACTGCATGACTTTCCCATCCTTACTCCCCCAACTCCTTACTGTATCCCTAGTCCCTAGCCAAGACCTAACTGACTCAAAGAGATGCAAGAATCACTTACTTTTCCAGGGTACTTTTGACATCCTAGAGGGAAGGAGAAAAGAAAGCAATATTGGTCCTGGTGGTCAAGGGTCCTAAAGGTAAAAGGTTCCCCCTCCTCCCACAAGTTCTAGATCTATAAAATAGGCATAGGGCAAACTGAGGGTCACAATGCAAGGGGACTCCAGAGGGATCTGAGTACATCTCTCTCAATATAATCCCCGCTTTCAACTTTGGTCATCATGAAGCTTGGTAATTTATATAACTTCCAAATGGTTTCTTGTGTGTTTGTCTTTGCTCCTCAAGGACACCGAGAACTCAATGCAAGGGACAGGGATTGTGTCTGCTCTTTACTCTGTCCCCCAAGTACCAACCACACACCCGTCTCCTTGAGGATCAGTAAAGATAGTTCGACTGGTGGCATAGGAATGAATCATACTTTCCTGTTGTGGTTTGGTATCCTCTGTCTGGTATTGGTTAATAAACATTAATAACTGTGTGCCAGTCCTGATTTGTGAATACTTGGGGTCCAGAAGACAAAGAAGACAAATCTCTGCCCTCCAAGGATTTCCCAGTTTAATGTGGAAGGCAGAACACACATACATGAAAGGACATAAGAATAAATACCAAGCAATACATAACATGCAGAAAAATGTACAATGAAGCCTCACTGATTCAAATGCTGGTAATCTGATCTCTAAGATAAATGTTTCCTACAGCCTGGCTAACACCATTCATCTGCTTAAGAGAACAGATTATTTCAAACATTTTAGAGGCACCATTTACATACCAAAAGCAATATATTATTTTACACATAATTTCAAGTGTCCCTCAAACTATGTTTCTATTCTTTTTTAGCACTAGTAAATCAAGTTCTAGGACAGAAAAGTAATGATAACTGCATTTACACAATTCTTAATGAATAGTTTTTTCACTAATTCAGACTAGACTGCCCTCCTTTCAAAAGACTGACTTTTTACTTTGGTACAAATTAAGCACATAATTGTTGACAAGACATAAGAACAAAGAAATGATTAGAAGGGGATGGGAGAAATTAGAGAAGCCTTTCTATAGAGAAAGATCCTTTGAGTATGTCTGGAAGAAAGAACTGGATTTAGAGAAGCAGAGCAGAAGAGTGAGCATCCTGGGCTGACAGAATGGCCTGTGCAAAGCTATACTGCGCTCGACCTGAGGGGCTATGCAGGAGCAAAGGCCGAACCTTAAGCATTTCGAAGCCCGACTGTAAGCACTTGCCCTCCACCTCGGCAGCCAAGTGGGCCAGGTCCCGGCGCCTGTCTCCAAGGTGAGCAGCATTTTCTCGGAGGCGCTGTAGAATGTCCTGTTCCTCCTCCTCCAGGCGTGAAAGCAACATTTGCTGCTCTTCATCCAGCCTCCTATGAAGCTCTTCAAATTCCTTTAAGATCTGCTGTCGGCGACTCTCTACTAGTCTCTGAGAAAAGAGGGACGGTGTTATGTTTAGCAAGGGCATAGGGTGCCTTTCCCCACCCTCCATGTGTTTGAATTAACAGACTTCCAGTGTCATTGGAAACAGGACACTCATGTTTCCCTCTACTAGAATTTCCTTCTGTAAGAATGGCTCCATGACTTGGGAGTGAAGACCATTGGGAAGATAAAAAAAAAATCAATGTCAAAAATTTTTAAATTTTCTTTAATTATATTAACTTCCAAAAAAGCTATACTTTTATGTTTTGGTAAAAAAACTCAAGATATAAAAACTCAATAATATTATAACATCTACTATTATACGTATCAGAGACATCTCTACTACTCCCAACTCTAAAGTTCTAGCTAATGTAATGTGTCAAGAAAAGGAAAGCACAAATACTGGAAAGTTGGAGATAAGACTGTCATCATTTGTATATTGCAAGACATCTACCTGATAAAAACCAGAGAACCAACTGGAAAAGTATGATGTTCCAGTAGGATTTTAGTAATGGGTTGTTACAAAATATATATGTAGATTTTAGGGCTGAACCTGTTAGAGAGTTTCAATTCACTTCAGAGAACTGACAGTTTCCACCCCAACAACAGGTTCCAGAAGTGTGTAAGTAAATTACGGTAGTCCCCCGATCCACGGTTTCACTTTCTGTGGTTTCAGTTACCTTTGGTCAACTGTGGTCCGAAAATATTATATGGAAAATTCCAGAAATAAACAACTCACAAGTTTTAAATTGTGCACCTTTCCGAGTAGCGTAATGAAATCTAGAGCTGAGCCATCCCGCTCCATCCCACTAGCAACGTGAGTCATCCCTTCGTCTAGCCTATAGGCTACCAGCCATTAGTCACTTAGTCGCCATCTTGGTCATCAGATCCACTGTCACAAGTATTGGAGTGCTTGTGTTCAAGTAACCCCTATTTTACTTAATAACAGCCCTGAAGCACAAGGGTGGTGATGGTGGCAATTTGGATACGCCAACGAGAAGCTGTAAAGTACTTCCCTTATGTGAAAAGGTAAAAGTTCTCGACTTAATAAGGAAACAAAAAAAATTGTATGCTGAGGTTGCTAAGTTCTATGGTAAGAACGAATCTTCTATCTGTAACTGTGAAGAAGGAAAAAGAAATATGTACTAGTTTTGCTGTCACACCTCAAATATGTATGTATAGGATATGTAAGGTTCAGTACTATCCTCAGATTCAGGCATCCACCTGGGGTCTTGGAATGTATTCCCGGTGGATAAGAGGCGACTACTGTAGTTGCTTGAAATTTGAAACATGCTTTCTCTCAGCCAGCACATAGACTTAAACCTCTGACATTCCTGAAATTTGATAATGTAGGACTCAAATACCACCATAACCCTTTCTGAGGGTTATCAGCAAGTACATCCTCCCTTCTGTACCTCCACTGCAACAAGAAGTGATCTCCCCAAAGAAGGATTCTCTAAGCGTCATGTGACTGATGGGGAGAAATCAACCCAAGAGGGAAGCAAAGTGAGAAGCAGAGACTGGGACTCTGGAAGGAAGAAGTGGATAGGGACTGAAAGGCATGGCTGAGGGGGAATAGACAGTGAGGCTGCAAAGCCAGGGTGGGCCTTACAAGCCTGGGGTGTCTGGATTTCAAGCTAGTTCCCAGCAGAGGCAGGCTGACAAGCTCCAGTTCTAGAGCCACTTGCTGCTTCCCATTCCACTGCTGCCTTCAAAGGGGCACACTGGAACAAAGTATATTCTCACAACATTTACCCTTAAGAAAAACACAGCCCTTTTCCCTCTACATGTATATTTAGGGGTGATGTATGGGTAGAATTTAGGATTCGTAACTGTAGTAAATAGGAAGCAAAAGTGCTCTCCCTTGTATAATCCCATAATCCCTTCTCCCTTTTTACTCTATATAAGTAGGGCAGTGCTTCTTAATGAGCGTGTTACGTCCCTCTAGGGGTATTTTGGAAATGGGAGGTGTTTTTTTGTTTGCCATGACTAGGGGGGCTCCTGGCAAGGATGCTAGGCTAGCACTCCTCCAACGTGTGAGACAACCCAGCAAGATGAATTGTCCTCCACCATTTTCTCATGTTCTGCTGGATATTCAAAAATGTGGGCCTGGAACTGAAGGCCATTTTATATATAAACACAGAGTAATTCTTACATGCTTTTAATATACCTCAATTTTTCAGGAATGGCTAAATCAAACTCATTAAGACTGTATTTTGTTTTTTCTTAGTACTTTTGTACCAAAAGTTATTTATCATTTAAAAAAATTATATCACCAAGAGCTTGTGGTATTTGAGTCAACATTACTACATAATTACCTCAGTCTGAATTTGTATTTTTTGTATTGTTGATGTCACATATAGGCACAAGGATAAAACTACATTGTGGTGTCTTTCAGGGTAGTCATGCCCAGATATTTACATATCAGATTTTATTATAAATTACTTTTCTTTATGTTGTATTATATTATCCTATATTTGGGCATGATACTCTTTTTTAAATTATGTAGATAGGTTATTTTATCCACAATTTTCATTTCAGCATGGTTAATTATAAATTATTTCTAAAAGGGGCATTGGGTCTGATTCTGGAGGTAGGGATGAGGGAGAGGGTAGGAGAATTCAAAATGGTCACAAAAGGAATGTTGGTAATAGTTTCAGAGACCACTGAAATGATAATTTACATTTTTTTTTTTTTTTGCTGAGGAAGATTCACCCTGAGCTAACATCTGTTGCCAATCTTCTTTTTTTTTGGCTTGAGTGAACCCCAGGCTAAGATCTATGCCAATCTTTCTCTATTTTGTATGTGGGCGGCTGCCATAGCATGGCTGACAAGTGGTGTAGGTCTGCCTCTGGGATGTGAACCTGTGAACCCGGGCTGCCTAAGCAGAGTGCACTGAACTTAACCACTAAGCCACAGGGCTGGTCCCGATAACTTATATTTTTAAGAACACCACAGTTCTGTTCCAGCATTTAGAAGGTTTTAAAAATTTTTAGTCGCCTCTCCATCCCTCACCTTTAAGAAGGTGATCAATGGGAAGAGGAAAGTTAATGACTGAGAATAAGCTTCATTTTCACATATTTTAAGTTTCTCAGGGGCCCTCCAAAAGAATAAAGAACTTTTTTTCAAAGTTCACCTTTGCTATCAAAATTAGTTCAAATTTTAAAAAATTCAAATGCTTGTTTTGCTAAAATGTATACAGGACTAAGGTAACAATACTTGATTTGTGCTAAAATGTTGTCACTGCTGAAAAAAATTAACGTTTCTACTATTTTCAAACCTGTGTTTCATTTCTGGTGATCCCTAAATCTCAACTCCAAAAACTCATTATTTCTTCTGGAAGCCTTCAGTGAGGTCAAATTTCTATGTTGTCTTCTTATGAACTTGCAACTGTGCTTTTTGTGCCATGTGATTTTCCATTATTTCTACTGGACTGTAAGCTCAAGGAGGGCAGGGACTGTTTTTGCTCATCATTGTTCCTCAGTGTCAAATACAGGGTTTCGCCCATACTGGAAGCTTAATAAGTATTTATTGTTTCATGTAGAACTAGTATCCCTGGTTTTGTCACATACTGGCTGTATGATTTTGGTCTAGACACTTATCAAAGTTCCGTTTCCTCTTGTGTAAACTGGGGTAATAATACCTATCTTACAGGGTATCTAAGTTCACCTTTGCCAAAGATGACTTCTAGGACTCCCTTCCCTTTGTCTTGTAGCTTTTCTATGTCCCACTGTGCCAAGTCTGGCCTGAACTCTTAGAACTCCAACCTGAGCAGAACCCTAAGACCTAAAACAACTCTCTAAGTTTGGAATGTCATGGATACCCAGTGAATTAACACACAGGACTCAATAAATACTAATTATTATTACCGCCACTATTAATACTTGTTCACTGTTCAACAGAAGAAATAAGGCAGAAACCAAAATACCATGCTACAAATATGGTAAAGCTATGAAAGAGATGCAAAATTGTATGAAAATTAAGAAAGTTAATTTCTGAAGGGTCAGGAAAGGCTGCATAGGAAGTGGCTTTCATCTTGCCTGAAGGATGGATAGGATCCTACAGGCAGAGGACGGGGAGGGGAACATTCTAGGAATAAACCAACATCATACAGCACACTTGAGTTATGAGAATGTGGTCCTAACGTCACTGGGGCAGTTCTGGGAGCTCTTGGTCAGCTCCTTCTCCTTTCCTCTCCAGTGAACCTTCCAAATTCTCCTCTCCTCAATCCTTCTATGAAACTCCTATCTCTGCACTCTCAGCAGAGAGCCTGCTTCCCTGCTTTACAAAGAAAAGGAGACCAACGGGCATGAACTCCCTCAACTCGCCAGATGTAAGATGTTCAGTCCGTCCTTCACCTCTTACATCTTTCTCCTCAATACTTAATTCATGACAAGTAATTTAAGTACAATGTTTAATGACAATGAAGCTGGATAAAGTACTATTATTTTTGAGAGAGTAGCATTTTCCTAATGAAACAGAACCAGTGCATTAAATAATGTGTGGCTAATGTTTGGCTGACTGCTGGCCTTTACCTTGAGCTCGCCAGGCTTCTTCTCCTCCGAGGACTTGCAGTGGGTGATCTCCTGCAGCTTCTGCTCCAGGGGCTCCAGGCACTTCTGCAGTTTCTCCTGATGGGTGAGAAGCAGGAGAGGTGGCATTTGGGCTTGGCTGGCAGAACCTATATCTGTTTTAAACCATTTGTTTGCTTCCTATCCGTCTCACCACCTCTTGATCCAACTTTTTCTTGCCTGTCGTTTGGGGTGTCAACTTCCTACAGGTCCCTCCCTTGCCACCAGCCTGTCCCCGTGACCTTCCTTGCTCACCAAACTTTCCTTGCACTGAATCTCATAGCTGTCCAGCTGTCACCAACTCTGTGCCCTTCCCCAACCCTATCCATTTTCTTACCCAAGTAACTACCTATCACATCACAGTGACCTTCTGTGTCCTGATATCCTTCTTTAAACTTGTCCTCCCATCCAACTCTAACCACTGACAAATATAATAAAATCTTGATTACTTATACGGTAAACTACCTTAAATCTTGTTTCCAACATTTTATTAACATAATTAAACAAAGTACTTGATAAAGTGCTAAGACATTAAAATCTCTAGTTCAAATTACTCAAACATTTACCCTGCGTCCCAGCAGTAAGTTAAACCAGATGCCATGTTATCCATTATCTGGGGAAGATGCAAACTACAGACTGGTTCAGTTTAGTCTGGTGGGGATCAGGCTAAAGTTATGGTGCCTATTCCCAATAGCAATGGGAAAAAAAGGGACATTCTGAGCAGGGGGAGAGAATGAAGAAACCAGACTACTTCTCAGTTCTTCCTAAGTTTGATTTTTTCCATGTGGTTTCATTCATTTATGAAAGACATGATACATTCCAAGACCACACGTACTCAAAGGTGTTACAAAAGTCAGAGAGAAATTTTGTGGTATTCCTCACCACTGCTCTTCTTCATGCTTGAGGATAACTGATCAGGTGTACTATGTGCTCACTGTATATGTAGCTCTAAGGGGACTACAGAATGAGGATCAGATACCATCTTGCCCTCAGGAGCATCTGATCCTCTACCCAGGGAGTCTCCTATCCTCTGTGCTCCTCCCTCTTCCCTCTTGTTGGCATCATGCGCCTGGTTCCCCACCTTGTACTCCTGTGTGGCATCGTCCAGTGGCACGACGGTGTGGGCCCGGTGGGTGTGGGAAATTGCACATATCAAACATACAGCCTCCTGGTCCTCATAGCAGAAGAGGCTGAGGGCTTCATGGTGCTGGGGGCAGAGGCTCTCATCCCGGATCTTCCGCTTGACAGCCTGGAGCTGCTTGGCAATTTCTACCATACTGCCTAGCTGTCGATTAGGCCGGAGACTGCGGTAGCGAGATGTCTTTCGACAGACAGGACAAGGGAAGTCCCTCTCTAGGTCCTCCCACCAGCGGGTGATGCAAGCTTTGCAGAAGTTGTGCCCACACTCAATGATGACGGGCTCCTTCAGATACTCCAGGCACACGGAACAACTCGCCTCCACCTGTAAGTTCTCCAGAGCTGCAGCTGTGGAGGCTGCAGAGGCCCCAGCCTCTAACAGACTTGTCTCTGCCATTATTTAACTTGGGAATAGGAAGGGGGCAGATAAAAGAAAAATATTAGTTGGAGATTTAATTTTTCTGCATCTTTAGCCTGACATTTACCCCCATGTTATATCCTAACTCCAGATGTAGCGCCATCTTGGTGCTTTACATCTTCTCTTCCACTAAATTCAACCCGTCTTTTGTTTCTCCATTTCCAAAACTTGTGACTCCCAGCCATCAATCTAATTTTTTTCCTTCTTCACCAAACTGACACGCAACCCCCAATTTCTTCTGTCTTTTACCTCTGCTTTCTCTTGTTAGAAACAGAGGCTTCCTTCAACCCAGTGTATTTCTCCTGATCCAGGCTGATACACTTATATCTTAGAACCAACAGTTCTAGACTAATGTATCTGTAGTTTAACATATTTTTCTAATATGTTAGAAAGGAGTTTGGGAAAGCGAAAAGAGCCATAGAAGTCAAAGTATTAATTAAGATTTCTTAAATTAACTATATTTTAAAGTTTAATGTTATAAAGAGTTTTATTACAATAGTCCATGGGAGGGTAAGCTTGATTCTCTGCCACTGGTCTCTTACTCTTTCAAAAGGCGATAAATGGCATGAGTTAGGCAAGGGTAACAACCTCTTCTTTTCAGGAAAGTTTGAAATTCTTCCTTTCATCAGACTAGCCTAGAGGAAGTGTACTCTCTTCTTGGAATGAAATGATTCACACAACATCCCATTTCTATTTGTGTGCATTTGGACACTTGCAACTGCTGAAAAGTGGTAAATTCATGGCAACTATAGTAAAGAGTATATTACTGAGCCCAGGCCAACAACTTCTTGAAAAGAAGGCTGACAAGTCTGTTCTAAATATTCAGCAGTGATTGGAGTCTTTTGAAATAGCTATTGATAACTAAGTCCTTGGACATACTGTGCCTCCAACTAATAGGTTCTAGAGTGGCTGGGAATTAAAAGAAAGAAAAGAGGCAACAAAACCTCCCTCAAGTGAAGCCTCAAAGAACTGGAAATGGACCAAAGAGATTTATAAAGCAGAAGACTGGTCCTCTATCCTTAAAATGTCACCTCTTTTATCCATGAAATAGTTGATTTTTCTATCCCCATAACCCCTCCTGTCCACCCTCCCTCCTCCTCCCTCCCAAGAGACTCAAAAGAAGGAAATTTAGTAGGTCTATGTGCTGATAAGTGGCCACGTGATAAGTTGGGTTAACAATGATTATTGCTGTATATATTGATGGCACACATGAAAAGTGTTTAATTTGGAGTAGGAGTTGATAACTTATTTGGATCTGAATTTCTTCCCTCAACCAGGAGAGGAGTTCAGTTCGATTTTTCTCTACCTATGGAAATCCAACTTTGACTAGTGACCCTGCCCCTTCCCCAATCTTCTAGAAATTAGGTGGCCTCCTCACCTGGAGTGAGTTGAACTGTATGCAGTTAGGGACCAGGATGGATCTGGACTGGCAAAGAAGTGGTGTGAAAGAGAAATGGGGAAAAGGTTAGGGAAGTATGGAGAGGGCTTGGAGCTACAGCCATAGCGAGGCCTCAGGTGGCTCTGGGTTGGTCATTTCTTTCCCTCTATTCCTCGTGTCTCAGTAGAAGGGCAAACTTCAGGGACGTCCTCATTTTGTTTCTAGCACTGTCCGGGGTCCCACTTTGCGACCCTCTCCTGAGCGTGGTCCGCAACTCGGTCCCACCCCGGTCTCCATCTTCTCCCGCCAGATCTGGCGCAGGGGGATTGGAGAGGAGGGAGGGGTGCGTGTCCAGGTGAGGAGTAGGTGTGACGTGAAGGTGGGATGCCCGCCGCTATGACGCAGCCGAGACCCGCGGTGACGGCGTCAGCGTTTCACCCGGGGCGGCGAGCCGCAGCGGGACGGGGGAACGGCGGGGTAGCCAAGCAACGCCGGACGCGCTGACGTCGCCGGGGCGGCAAAACGTCCGCCCGGGCCCGAGGCGGGCGGAGGCAGCTGTGGTTACGTGCCGGGGGCTGGTGACGCAGTCGTGGGGCGCTGGGACGCGGCGTGCGGAGCCGGCCGGCGGGGGCAGGCCCCAGGGCCCGGCGCGGCGGCGGGACAGCACCTACCTTCCCGGCTTCGGGTCCGGGAGTGCGGGGCGCGGAGCCGCCGGAGCGCTGCCTCCCTCCTTCCTCCTCCCCCCGCCCCCGCCCCGCAGCGCGACACACAATACTCGCCGGAAGCGGAAACCGCGCCGAGAGGCTCGTGTCAGTGGAAGCCGGTGTGTTGCCGGGCGGCCACGGGAGGGGTTAGTGGTGCCTGTGGAGGAAGGAGAAGGCGGGGGGCCGGAGGTGAGAACCAGCAGGAGGAGTCGGGGGCGAGAAGGGACCCGGAGGGGCAGGTGGCTGAAATGCGGTCGTCCAGGTGACCCGAGGAATCCTCCGGGGAAAGAGGGCCGCGCATGCGCGAGGTTGAGCGCTGAAGCCCATTGCCCGCAGGGCGCCGACGGGCTCCGGGACCGGCGAGGCTGTCCCGTGCAGGCTGCGGGCCTGGGCTCTGGCCAGGCCCGTCTGGTCCCGGGTGGGGCTGGGAGCCGCCGGGGGCGGGGCAAGGGCGGGTCGCGGACTTTGAGCTACACTTCTCCTCTCTGTGGCCCGTCCAGGGGGAAGGTGGCGAGTGGAGGCGGCGGCCAATTACGTAATTGGCGGACCTGCGGTCTCGGCTGGCACGTCACTTCCGATTAGTTGAGTTTTAGCCTTTTAACATTCAAGGACTAGGTGAGTTCTCTCTACTGTGGGCTTCAAGTACTCCTCGCCCTACCCCTGCGTGGCGGCCTTTGTTGAAATTATCTGCCTTCCCCGCCAGCGTGGGAGGCCGGAGAGAGCTGGTACTGCGACTCCGCTGTTCACCTTTGTATGCTCAGCTCCTGGCTCGGGGCCCGACCGCAGGAAGGGCGCGGCAAACACCCGTTAACTGCATGCGGGCCAAGGCCTGTTCTTTCCACTTTTGGGACTGTGACTTGAGTTTCTGCACAAGAGCAGATGGTGCTTGTGTGAGGACTCCAGACTTTTGCATTATAGCCTCCCTGCTTTCCTCTCCTGCTGCTGGAAGCTTCGCAGCCCTGTGACGTTGGAGGAAGAGGGTGAGGTGATGAGGCTGGGAAAGTCGCTGAGAGAGGTGTGATGAGCCTGGGGAGGAGGTGCTGAGTAGAGATGATGGAGCTGGGGAGGAGCTAGTGCTGGTTGGAGGTGTGATGGGGCTGAGGAGGAGAGTGTATGACGCTACTAGTAGGAAAGGCAGCTTGCCCTGCCCTCTCTGCCCCTACCCTTGGCGTGCAGAATGTCGGCTGAAAGAGATGAACAGATTTTGGTGTACCCTCCGAGAGGAAATGGCCCAATGGCCCAACATGTTTTTAAGTTGTGATGCTGTTTACGAACACTGTGCAGTATTTAACCTCTCATTCTGGGAGCCAGAAACTATTTACTTGCAGAAAATATCAAATGTGCAAGGTATAAATATTTAGGATTACACATCTAAATACAATTTGTCTACTTGTTCTTTACTGTTCCTTTGTTTTTCGTTCACGTTTTTCCGGAGCCCATGATTTAAAGAGGATTAAACTTGAGAAAACTACATTTATTAACTTTTTCCCCCTCATTGCTTTTTGGCCATTAGGCATTTTAGCAGCAGTACTTGTACTAGTTCACACAATGCCTCAGTTCTAAGGTAGGGTAGTTTGAAGGCCACTAACTGGGCGGTCAGCCTCTTTAGCCTTGCTTTAGAGGGAGAGTGGTGTTTGTGAGGTTTGGTTCTGGTTTTGATCTGTTCATTTGTAATTTTTAAGGTGTTGCTAGCCCTCCATTCTGGCTTTCTGTAGGTGAGCAGGGATGTGGTTAGACTAAGGAAATTCCCAGGAGGAAGTGCGTTTCCAAGGATTATGAAGAATGTGTTTGCCTGGAGACTAATAGGTTATTAAGAAGATTTTATGCTGAATATGGAAGGAAAGGGGGGAAAATGTCTAGGTAAAACTATAAAATTATGAAGGACATGTAGTATGACATAGAACAGGGGTTGGCAAACCTATCTGGAAAGAGCCAGATAGGACATATTTTCAGCTTTGTAGCCCACACTCTTTGTAGTGTGAAAACAGCGTTTGACAATACTAAATGAGTGAGCGTTGCTGTATTCCAATAAAACTTTATTTATGGACACTGAAATTTGAATTTCATATAAATTCTTCACGTCATGAAATATTATTATTATTTTGATTTTACCCCCAATCATTTAAAAATGTAAAAACCATTCCTAGCTTGCGGGCCATACAAACACAGGTAGCAGACCATAGTTTGCTGACCTCTGACATAGAACAATAATGAGGTACATGGTATTTTCCAAGAGAGAACAATTGGGAAAGAGGGTGAACACAATGATATGATCTCTTATTTCCATCTGTCTATATAATAACACAAAATAATAATAAAGGAAATCTGAGCTCTTAACACAAATTTATTATGATCTGTGAAACTTTGTGGACTGAGATTTATGTACTAGGGTAGAAGTACATTCTTTGAACAAGGAAGTGTATTCTTCGTTTAAAATTAAAAAGGATTGTAGTTCCAGAGAGGTGGAATAACGCTGAGTTGTAATGTTGATTTATACCAAGAGATTTCCAACACAGGAGTGTACAAAAATGAATTACAGTAATGAGATACAGGGTAATTAAAGATTTTTTTTAATATATGTTTTTAATATTGTTTTTGTATCTGGAAAGGAGAATAAAAGATATCTTGAAACCACTGAGTCATATAGAGGAAATAGATATATTAGCAGTGCAGGTGGAAAATTGGTTGAGGTCAGATATGGTAGGATGGGTAGGGAGAGGGTTCAACTGTCCAGACTTCCGAGATTCTTAAGAAAAGGCAAAACATCTAATTTTCTCTCACCATTTTTTTTCATTATGAAACATTTCAAACATATAGAAACAGTCTTCAATTTGCTTATTATACTTTATACTGGCTTTTATCTTCCCAGTTCAGTAACATAGAGCTACCTCACTCTTTTTCAAGTCTGTATTATTACTTCATTGTGAAGATATATAATTTATTCAACCATTTTATTACGAGTATTTGGGTTCTTTCCAAGTCTTATTAAATAAAGGCTATAGTGAACATTCTTGGACATGTATCTTTTTTCCCCAGTTTTATTGAGATATAATTGACATATAACTGTATTAATTTTAGATGTACAACATAATAATTTGATATATTTGCACATATATTTTTAGATTGTCATGCCGTGTATTAGTAGGACAAATTCCTGGAAGTTGGGCTGCTGGGTCAAAAGGCATGAAAATTTAAAATTTGAATGGAGACCTCCAGTTTCCTTCCCATAAAAGTGTGCCTATTTATACCCACATCAGCATATTACAAGATAGCCTGTGGAGCCACTGCTGAAAGTTTCATATTTAAAAAATTTACTGGTGGGTGTTACAGCTTTACCAAGGAAAGCAGACCAAGTCTCAGCTAGCAAGGCCTTTGGCTTTCCTGCCCAGCATTACACTGCTATTGATTGTGTGGATTTTCTGGCCTCTCTCATTCTGGAACTTCTGCCATTATAGATTGCCTTTGAGCATGGGATTTTAGTACCTTGTTATATTCTGAATTGTTCTTTTGCTTCCCTCTACCCCCTGACCTATGTAAGTTTTTAATTAACTCATTAAGATTGTAAGTCACTAACTTTAAAAAAAGTAATCTTAGTAGTATCATTTATGATTCCAAATATAAATAGTATAGGTCCTCATTACATGTTTTGTTGCTTTTTAATTAAAAGTTGACTTCTACCATATGTAGGAGGTTACTCCCTGGTTGTCAGTGGTAAAGAAAGGAAAATAGTGAACTTATCTCTTGTGCTAGGGAAAAAGATCATTTATTTGTTCTTGTGATTTTAGGGGCACAATAAATAACATTTTCTTTTCTCCCTGCCAGTTTCAGAACAAGAGAGATACAAGAGTCAGACAGAGACTAAAATACCACCTTTATTAGCTTTATGAAACTAATTGGAGGGAATAGCTCAGAAATAGCTAGTTGATTTGCTTACTCTCCCTTGATTTGAGCTTGCCACCCAACACTTGAGGCTGCCCCCTCCCCCGCCATCAGAACTAGCCAGCTAAGTTTCCATATGGCTGGGAGCAGATGAGAAATCATCCCCTCTGTGTTAAGATTTGAAGACGAAAAGGGCAAGGAGCTGGGCCAAGCATGCTCAGCTCTGCTCTAAAAACTGCTGGTTACATCAGTCCTCAAAAGGCCAGGGGTCAGGGAGGGGGGAGTGATTTGGGGGAAATCTCAAGGAAGCCATGAGAATGAAGAATAATTGTTTCCCCTAATTACTTTAAAACTAGATAGGTAGGTAGGTACACAGATACAGATATACCTTTTTAAATGGTGAAATTGACACATTCAGAAAAGTCGTAAAGCTAAAAAATGTGGCACAGTGATATTTCTGTGAAAAATCACCATGGAACCACCATCCAGCTCAAGAAATAGAACATTGCCAGCCATTCAGAAATCCCCCTCCCCTGTGCCACCTCTTCATCATTACCCCCTCCCTCTCATACAGCCGCCCTGACCTCTACGGTATTTTTGTCCATGCTTTTCTTTGTAGCTTCACCACCACCTAAGTATGTGTCCCTAGATACTATATAGTTTAGTTTTGCCTGTTTTTCTTTGTTAATGTAAAAAGAGTCGCATATTGAATGCCTTTGTATGTCAGGTTTCTTTTGCTAATGTTACGTCTTTTATTCACCTGTTGTTGCGTGTATCTGTAGTTCATTTGTTTTCACTGGTGTGCAGTATTCCATTTTATGAACCTGCCATAATTGATTCATCCTGTTGTTGATGGACTCTGGACTTTGCCAATTTTTGGCTGCTGTGAGTGTTCATGTGTGTATTTACATGTGTGCGCTCACAGTTGTGAATAATTCTAGTAGTGAAATTGCTAGATCACTGGTTAAATATATGTTCAACTTTAGTAGATAATTCCACACCACTTCCCAGAGTGGTTTTATCAGTTCACAGAAGCCCCACCATCAGTGCAGAGTCCCCATTGCTTCACATTCTCATCAACACTCAATATTTTTGGACTTTTGAATTTTAGCCATTTTTACTGAGTATTGTGGTGGTGTCACTTTTTAGTTTTTATTTTCCATGATTACAAATGAGATTGAATGCCTTTTTCTGTATTTATGGGCCATTTGATATTCTTGTTTTTTGAAACGTCTGTTCTGCCCATTTTTATCTATTGAGTTGTTGGCGTTTTTCTTATGGAGTTCTTTTTTTTTCCAGTTTTATTGAGATATAATTGACATACAGCACTGTATAAGTTGAAGGTGTACAGCATAATGGCGTGACTTACATATATTATGAAATGATTACTACTTCTTTAGTTAACATCCATCATCTCATATAGATATTAAAAAAGAAAAAAATGTTTTTTTCCTTGTGATGAGAACTCTTAGGATTTACTTTCAACTTTGAATATACCATACAGCAGTGTTAAATATAGCCATCATGTTGTACTTTAAATCCCCAGTACTTATTTATCTTACAACTTGACGTCTGTACATTTTGACCACCTTCATCCAGTTCCCAACTCCCCACCCCCTGCCTCTGGTAACCACAAATCTGATCTCTTTTTCTGAGTTTGTTTTCTTGTTTTTAAGATTCCACGTATGTGAGATCATACAGTATTTGTCTTTCTCTGACTTATTTCACTTAGTGTAATGACCTCAATGTCCATCCATATTGTCACAAATGGCAGGATTTCCTTCTTTTTTATGGCTGAATAATATTCCATTGTATATTATACCGTAACTTCTTTATCCATTCGTCCGTCACTGGACACTTAGGTTGTTTCCATGTCTTGGCTGTTGTGAATAATGCTGCAGTGAACATGGGGGTACAGTTATCTCTTCGACATAGTGTTTTTGTTTCCTTCAGTTATTTTCCTGGAGGTGGAATTATTGGATCATATGGTAGTTATATTTTTAATTTTTTGAGGAACCTTCATACTGTTTTCCATAGTGGCTGTACCAATTTACAATCCCACGGATAGTGTACAAGGGTTCCCTTTTTTCCACATCCTTGCTAGCCTTTGTTATTTCTTGTCTTTTTGATGATAGCCATTCTAACAGGTGTGACATGATATGTCATTGTAGTTTTGATTTGTGTTTCC